GAGAGAGAGAGAGAGAGAGAGAGAGAGAGAAGGGGGGACAAGTTATCATTGTGCCCAGTCGTTATGCTCTGGCTGGTTCTCGCTCCGTCTTTATCTAGGGTGCTCCTTACCCGCGCGCCTGTTTGTCTCTGCCTGTCCCTTTCCTCTCTTATTTATCTCTCCGCAGCGGTTTCTCTCTTTCCCGCCGCTCCTCACATTTTTCGCCGCGCTTGTAGAAATAAGAAATAACACACGCGCAGCAGCGGCCACCTGCAGCGCATTATCATTTGCCGGCTGGTTTGTTTCGCTTCCGCTCATCTCTTCCCCTTCCAAAGCCTCATCCCGTGTCCTCTGTCTCTGTCTATCTCGCTCACTCTTCTCTCTCTCTCTTTGCGTTTGCTGCTGCTATATATACAGAGGAATGCGGAGGGAGAACAAAAATGTATGCGAAAATGCAGCGGAGGAGTGGCGATTCTGTAAAATTCTACGTTTACCCAGGAAAATGAAAACCATCGTAAAGGTTAGCTCAGGGACGCGACCACATACAATCATGGTTGAGACAATATTTTATGGGTGTGCCTCGGCTAACCATGCGATGGCTGCTACAAGGTTTTACTTTGTGGGTGCTCTGCGCATTTACGTGGTCGGTTGTCCGGCAGTGGAGTGGACTGTCGTGATAGTGGCGCTGTGGGGGCGCAGGGGGCCGGGCCGCGCGGGCCGGGCAACCTCGGCCGTGCCGTGCGTGTGGGCTTAGTGGGATCAGGTCGCCTCGCTGCTAAACACTCGCCGGGGAGGGGAAACCTCGGGGGAAGCCTGCCTATATGGGCGAGGCGAGGGGGGCGAGCCGAGCCGGGCCGCATATAGGTTTGGAAACCGCCCCACACTACACGTAATGGGTGTAGTGTAATTAACTTGCTGAGAATTTCATCCCGAAATTTTCAAGGTATGCGTCCGAAAAGGTAAAGTCGCTTTTTCTGTAGTGGTTCATCTCCACAGCTCCCCACCGCCTCGCACACACGCGATCACAATGACGTCTTGTGTCTGCCTGCACTCATCAAGTTGGCGATTGTTCTCCGACCGCACAGACAGTGTGTCGCCTGCCCCGCCCCCTCCTCACCTGGCCGCCTTGCCCACCGACTCACGCCCCCCGGGCCTTTTGTTGGCCCGTGTTGTGAGCGTCTGTTCTCACTCTCTGAAAGTGGCTCATTTCCATGAAAGAGTGTGCTGTACTGTGAGTTTGTGAAGGAGGCGGCAGCAGGCAGTGCGAAGTCAGCGGGGCCAGCGCGCGACCGGGACAAAGGGTACCTCTCTCTTCACTCCCGCCAGGGTGTTACACGGTGCGGAGGTTTTCGTGCCATTTGTTTAGATTCCTGTCGCTATGCTGTGGACTGCTGCTGGACTTCTTTAGCACAGCTTAATTGTGGCTCGGCGTGAAGACGCGCGTCTGAGAGTTGGGGAAGATGAGCCAACCTCAGTCGAACAACACAGCCACCCGCTGCGAGGCCACTTCACGAAAATATGTTTTATTATAGCTGGTTGGCTGGTTGATCTGCGCAAAATAGTGTTAAACAGCCAAAAAAGTGAATTCAAGTACACCACTTGTTTTAATTCAAGTATGGCAAACAGGATTTAGTATTTTGTGTGTGTGCTTGTCGATCATTTAGTCCATCGACTAGTTCCTAGTTTAATGCTCCTTCTAAAAGTCGTCTGTCAACCGGGCCGTCACTCCAGTTGTTTGGGACGTGCCAACTCTTTCTGCCAGTGCATCACGTGGGGGCAGTGCCAACGGCTGCCGCCTCCTCCGCGCGGTGATTTACTGAACGGCGTGTTCAGAGATATTGGCCGGTCTGATGATGCTCCCGGTCGCTTATTTCTCAAGTTTGGTCCGGCGGGCCCGGGCGCGGGATTATTTATCAAAGCGACGCGCGCGTTATCGAATTAAGCGATATCAGGCACTTTATCAGCGGCCACTCATATCGCCCCCCACCCCCCTTTTCTC